AGGTAGGTGGGAGCCAGATTATAATGGGTTTCAAATTTTAGAATTTTGTATGTAGAGGCAATAGGGAGACGTTGAAAACTTTTGAGTGGAAGGAGGGTTGTGGTCAGATTTCTGTTTTAGGAATATGAATTTACGGGGCAGCTAGGTGGCGCAGTGGATAGAGCATCAGCCCTGGATTCAGGAGGACCTGAGTTCGAATCTGGCCTCAGACACATAACACTTACTAGTTGTATGACCTTGGGCAAGTCATTTAACCCCATTGCCTAGTCAAAAAAAAAAAAGGAATATGAATTTAGTAGCTATGTGGAGAATGAATAGGCATTCATTAAACTCTTACTTTGTGACAGGAACTGTATTAGGTGCTGAGGATACAAATACCAAGAATGAAATACTCTCTATTCTTTTTTTTGTTTGTTTTTAGGCAACTGGGGTTAAGTGACTTGCCCAGAGTCACACAGCTAGTAAGTGTTAAGTGTCTGGTCTGAGACTGGATTTGAACTCAGGTCCTCCTGGTGCTAGACCTGGTGCTCTATCCACTGCACCACCTAGCTACCCCAGCAATCTCTACTCTTAAGGAGCTTATAGGGAGACCATACTTATAAGGGAATAGTGATCAAGGTAAGGGAATTTTGGTCTGGGGAGTTGTAGGGATGGCGAGTTGATCCCTAGGGAAGCAGATTGCCATGCTTTTTACAGAAACAATGGCAGTATTGATTTGATTACTGTTCTCAGGGGAAGGGATTACTCAAGTGCAGCAGAGCAAATGGCAAGATGCCTTGGGTGGATGGTTGAATGGGAGGTGAAGCAAGGTCTGAGGCCATCCGGACATCCCTCTTAGCAGAGAGGGGATGGACACCAGATGCAGAACACTGAGACATAGAATTTCAGCCTTGTTTTGCTTGACTATACCTGTTATAGAGGACAGCTTTTATTAGGGGAAGGGGAATTATGAGGAATTGGGAAATGTAATGATAGAGATTTTGAAAAGGAAAAAAAAAAAGAGTATCAATGAAATATTTAAACCATACACAGAAGAGAGCAGAAGAGGGTTCAGAAGGAGACACAGACAAGCAGAACAAAGTCTGCTGGGTTAAATTTAACATATTCTTAAAAAAAATAAGCCTTAAGTAATAGAGATTCACAGCTCTAAATATTTTTTGTCTTTTTATGTCCTCCATATGTGGAAATTTTTCGTGTTTGTTGATGTCTGTTAAGTTTATAATTTAAAAAAAAGAATGTTTTTGGAAAAAATAGCTACAGTGGGCTAGGTCAGTTTTCACTCATGTACTCACTGAAAAGACAGCTTAGGCCCAGCGCAGTGAAACTAAAACTAAGTGAATTAACTGGGAGCAGGTGAAGCCATAGTGAGGGGCAGCATGGGACAGATGTATTAAAGAAGAGAGAGGTTAGGTAGTGTATTGGATAGAGCACTGAACCTGTAGTCAGGAATTCAAATCCTGCTCTGGACGCTTATCATCTGTGTTACTTTGGACAAGTCAAATAACCTTTGTTTGCCTCAATTTTCTCATCTGTGAAAGGGGGATAATAATAGTATCTCCTCTTCCCATTTTTATGATCTCTTTTGGATACAGCTCTAGAAGTGCTATTGCTGGGTCAAAGGGTATGTACAATTGAACAAGTTGCAGCATATGATTGTGATAAAATACTATTTTTTTTAAGGCAATTGGGGTTAAGTGACTTGCCCACGGTCACATAGCTAGTTAAGTGTCAAGTGTTTGGTCTGAGACCGGATTTGAACTCAGGTCCTCCCGACTTCAGGGCCAGTGCTCTATCCACTGTGCCACCTAGCTGCCCTGATAAAATACTATTTTGCTATAAGAAATGATGAGGAAGTGGATTTCAGAAAAACCTGGAAAGACTTGCATGGACTGATGCTGAGTGAAGTGAGCAGAACCAGGAGAATGTTGTACACAGTAACAGCCATGTTGTGCAATGACTAACGTTGAGAGACTTAGCTCTTCTCAGCAATGCAAGGATCTAAGACATCTCCAAAGGTCTCATGATGGAAAATGCTCTCTACATCCAAAGAAAGAACTATGGAGTTTGAATGCAGATCGAAGCATACTATTTGCTAGTTTTTTTTCTTCTGTTGTGTTTTGTTTTCTCTTTCTTGTGGTTCCTCCTATTGGTTCTAATTCTTACTTACAACATGATTAATGTGAAAATATGTTTAATAGGAATGTATATGTATAGCATATATCAGATTGTGCACCGTCTTGGGAAGGGAGAGGGGAGAGAGAGGGAAAAAAATTTAAAACTCAAAAGTTTATGGAAGTGATTGTTGATAAATTAAAATAAATTAATTAAAAATAATAGCACCTCCTCTCAGAGTTGTTATGAGGATTAAATGAGATAATATTTATGAAGTACTTTGTAAAACTCAGAGAGTCATATAAATACAGGCTAGCATCATCATCATTATTACTGACTAATGGTGTATCACACATCATTAATGAAATTACCAATTCATTTTAGGTTCTAGTTCTTTTGTGCCTTGGTAGGGGTTGATATTTGGTGTTTAAGGCTCAGAGAACCTAGTTGGCTTTTCTTTATCCAGAGATGAGCAGAATTTCTAGATTGCAGGAGTGGGGAACCTGCATCCTTGAAGCCACATTTGGCCCTCTACATCCTCAAGTGTGGCCCTTTGACTGAATCCAAACTTCACAGGGAATTTGTTCCGTAAAGTCAAGAACTCTGGTCTCAAGGTTACATGCAGGGGTAATAATAAGAGTAAGCCTGTATTCTACTTTTCATTTCAGTGACGCAGGTCTGCGAGAGTAGCATCCTCCCTGGGAAGATTCGGTAGTCCATTTCCCTCCCTCTCTATGGACTATTTTCAGGCTCTGAGTGTTCTGCCTGCCTCTTGAATCTAATGTATTCTGCACTTCTAGTGTCAGTCTTGGATAATTATAATGGCTTCAAAGGATAAGAGAACAGAATAGGAAAATCAAGAATTGGTAACTTTAAAGAGGGAGAATAATGAAATATGAACTTAAAAAAATTCCCAATTTAAAGTAGCCCAACTCCTACTCCCCTTGGTCCTATAAACTGCTGTTTGGATTCAAAGCTCTTTATGACCCAGTCCATCCTACCTTTCCAGTTTTCTTGTATCTGATTCTCTGTTGCAAACTCTAAGATCCAGTTACATTAGCTTACTCGAAGTTCCTTTAATATATTCCTCTGGTTTCCTTGCCTTTGCACTGGCTGTCCACCATGCCTGGAATATCTGTCCTCTTGCCTCCTCTTTTCACCTACCCCCCAGCTCCTTTCAAGACTCAGCTCAAGACCCACCTTCTGCCGGAGGCGTTACCTAGTCCTCCCATACCTTCCAGGGATTGCTATCATCTATTCTGTTTATATCTTATTTATTCCTAGTCACCGCAGTTAGAATGTGAAGTCCTGCGGCAGCTAGGTGGTTCATTGGATAGAGCACCAGCCCTGAAGTCAGGAGGACCTGAGTTCAAATCCGGCCTCAGACCAAACACTTGACACTAGCTGTGTAACCATGGGCAAGTCACTTAACCCCAATTGCCTAAAAATACTTAAAAAAAAAATTAAAAAAAAAAAGAGAGACTGAACTTTTAGGGGCAGCTAGGTGGCACAGTGGAGAGAGCACCAGCCCTGAAAGTCAGGAGGACCTGAGTTCTAATCTGATCTCAGACCAAACACTTGACACTTACTACCTGTGTGACCCTGGGCCAGTCACTTAACCCCAATTGCCTAAGGGGAAAAAAAAAGAATGTGAGATCCTTGTGGGCAGACATTGCTTTTACCTTTCTTGTTATCCATAGTTCCTAGCATAATTCCTGGCATAGTAAATACTTAATAGTTTTTGATTGATTGATTGATTGGTGTAGGTTAGGGTTCTTAACCTTTTTTGTATCAGGGACCCCTTTGAAAGTCTGGTGAAGCTTATGGGCCTTGTTCTCAAAATAATTTTCTAAAAATTCATAATTGAAGGAAATGGTAAATTTCAGTAATTTTCCCCATCTAGGTTCACTGATACTCACCCAATCCCCTTGAAATTGATCCATGGACCCCAGGTTAAAAAGCCCTGCAGATTTATCTCTTGAGATTTCTTCCAGCTCTGGGTCCTGTAAAAGAGTGAAGATGAAGTGCCTCCTAGGACAAAGGCAGCTGTCTGCTTGTAGAACGAGCTGGCCATGGGGGGCAGGTCTGGATTTCTCTAACGTGGCCCTGAGGTTTTTAGGCAATAGTGCTACTGTGTCTTGGCATGCTGATTTGGAGGGATTGTTGTAGAATGCACCAAGTGAGGGATGGCAAATCACTTTGCCCAGCTCTGAAAATGAATCATATCAGCAATTACTTGTTTCTTGGAGAAGAGAAACAGTAGAACAGGAAGTCGTAGATCATTTTCATAAATAGCACCAGAGATCTAGAGTTGGAAAGACTCTCAGAGGCCATCTTGTTCAAACCCCTCATTTTATTGATGAAGAAACTGAGACCTAGGGAAGTTAAGTGACTTGTCCAAGGTCATACCGGTAATAAATATCAGAAGCGGGATGGAACCCAGGTCCACAGACTCTAGAGCCAGTGCTTTTTCCTATCACATTTAAGTGTGTTTCTCAAAGCCTTGTGAAGTGTTAATCCCATTTTAGATATGAAGAAACTGAGATATGGCGAGATTAAGTGACTTGTTCAGGATCTAATAAGTATAAGGACCAGGAGTAGAACCCAGGTTTCTTGACTCCGAATCCTACACTCATTCACCTGTGCTCTACTGCCTCTCTAAAATCCAAACAGATGACCTCAGTTTCTTTGTCTGTCAAATGGGGAGATTAGATTAGTGGCTGAAGTCCCTAGCAGCTCTACAGCTATAATTCCTTATCATCAGGCTTACAAAACCATCAAGTTTTTGTCTTTACCCTTGTGCCCTCCCCACCTTGTAATTTATTTGATGCCATCTTTTGTCTATTGAAAATCGCCATGGTTATGTCCTGACTGAAATTGTTTCATGGGCATTGGTGGTTCAGTGGTAGAATTCTCACTTCCCATGTGGGAGATTGGGTTCGATTCCCGACCAATGCAGTCATATTTAGGGGCAGCTAGGTGGTGCAGTGGATAGAGCACTGGGCCTGGAGTCAGGAGGACCTGAGTTCAAATCAGGCCTCAGACACTCACTAGCTGTGTGACTCTGGGCAAGTCACTTAATCCCGATTGCCTCACACCCCCCAAAAAAAAAATTGTTGAGAAGTATATAGCACTTTGTCCGTGGAAAGCATCTCTTTAATTCTCCTTGGGTGAAAGTGCAAGGGAAAAAATGTGCGAAATAGTTAAGACAGACCTGAGAAAGAAAGAATGAAATTATACTGAAATTAATATGCTTGTTTTTTGGGGGGGGGGGCAAAAATTTCTTGAGATATAAAAGAATAGAGCCCAAACATTTTACTGAGGTAGCATGGTCCAGTGGAAAGAGCATTACTGACTGGAGTCAGAATAGTTGGGTTCAAACCCTGCCTGTGATGCTTGCTACCTCTCTGCCCTTGGACATTCAATCAAAAAATATTTTATCAAGTGCCCACTAAGTGCTAGGCACTTGGCAAGGTACTGGAGATATAAAGTGGAAAATGACGACAGTCTTCCCACTCTCAAAGAAACTTACATTCTATTGGCAATTCACTCAACCTCCCTGGGTCTCAGTTTTCTTTTCAGTGAAATGAGGGGTTTGTACGAGATGAACTTTGGGGTCCTTTTTTTTTTTTTTGGTAAGGCAGTTGGGGTTAAGTGACTTGCCCAAGGTCATACAGCTAGTACATGTCAAGTGTTTTGGTCTGAGGTCGGATTTGAACTCAGGTCCTCCTGACTTCAGGGCCGGTGCTCTATCCACTGCGCCACCTAGCTGCCCCAATGCTTTTTTTTGGGAGGGGGTCCTTTCCAACGCTGGATCTAGGATCCCAAGAACAGAATGCCTTTTGGCCCACTAAGTCATTTGGATCACCAGCCTGAGCTGTGAGCCACATAATCTAAGGTAACTGAGCAGTCAAACCTGCTTCCAAAAATGTAGATCACTTAAGATAAGCCTCATGCTTTTTGTATGATTTCTTGTTTATAGAGCACTGCTGATACTTTAAGTGATGGGCAATGCTCTTGGAAGGTATGCTTTCCCTTCTCAGGGAGTGCTGATTGTTAGATAAGGAGAAAAAAAACCCAAAGCTGTGAAAGGCAGAAACATCCAGGTGGAAATGGACTTTTATCCGGTTTGCTGTTTTTCACAGGAACGTTCCCTGAAAACTTATTCTGGAAAGGCTTTCTACTAACTTTAATGAAGAGAATTTTTAGCATTTTCAGATTAACCAGAAAGAGGTAAGTTCTTAAGAATTCTTCAAGTACCTACTGTGTGCAAAGTTGAAGGCAGCATGAAACAAAGGAAAGAATGCTGCATTTGGAGTCAGAGAATGAGAGTTCAATTCTTAGCTATTCCACTTACTACCTGTGAAGCCTAGGGAAAGCCATATTATTTCTCTGAGCCTCAGTTTCCTCCTTTGAAAAATGAGGGCATTGGACTAGATGACCTCCAAGGTACCTTCTAGCTGTGAATTTATGCCTATGAACATATCAGTTGTTGTGGTAAGATACTAAAGAATGCACACATATGGTGTCTGCACACATATGGGGGCTTACAGTCTAGTTGGGGAGATAACATCCATGCTGGCAAAACATTATCAACCAGTGAAAAATTACAAAGAAGTAGAATGAGGAACCCTTGCATTTAAAGTCAATATGAATATATTATGGTTATTAATAAATTGTTAACAATATGATCAACAAAACTATAAGATTTTATCTGACTATATGAGTGGATCATTGCCTCTAGATGCAATTCATAGAACCCACAGCTCTTTGAGCAAAAAAAAAAAAGCTTCAGTTTAACTTAAATGGGCCAGAAAAGGGTCATTTTCTTAATGAAGAATGCCTGAGAGGGATAGGACTCCCTCGGGAGGACCATATGCTAGTCGGTGCCTGCTCCATTGAGTTGTGGATCAATGTGTCCACATATGTGGACAACTGTAGAGCAGATGAGCCCTGGGAATCTTAGAAGGAGTGATGCAATGGTTTGAGGAGGATGGAAATTTGCTTTGAAACTGAACTTTAGAACCCTCAGCATTATATCTCCATTATGTAGACCAAACAAAATTATTTTTAAGATTTTCAAAAGTCTAGGATCCCCTAGGGAATATATTGGTACATCCTTCTTAGGATCATAGATTTAAGTCAGAAGAGTTGTATTAAAAGGCTGCTAGTTGGCTATAGACTTGATGTGTCTCCACTTACCTGATGGATCCAGGAGCAGATATCAAGTTCATACTCATCTATACTTGTAGATGTCTCTGGGACAGCCTAGAGTCCACTTGTGCCAGCTTGGAATGTCTTACCACCTGCTACATACCTAAATTTGTATGGGTACAGGGATGGTACCAAAAAGGTTATTTCATTGTCTTTTATTCCTGGGACTATCAAATGATGCTACTTTCTAAACAAATATGTCAGAACTTACACATTCCAGTGAGTACTGTCTTCTTCAAAGTAGTCACCTCAGAAGGCCATGTACTTATTCCAGTAATGTTGCTATCATTCAGGGTAGTTGCAGAACTCCTCTTCTAAGATTGCATTCATTGCCAATTTAAGAGCAACACAAGCAAATGAGTCTTATTACTTTTTTAGCTTTTATTTTTTTTGAAGATTAATGTTTTAAAGTTTTGATTTTTACACTACATTCATTTTTAAATATGCTCTTTCCCTTTCCCCTCTCCATTGAACCTTTCTTTGTAACAATGATTTAAAAAGAGGTTAAGTAAAACTAAGGAACACACTGACAATGTCTGACAGCATAAGCAAAATTTCATGCCTGTAATACCCCATTAAAAGAAGTGAAAAGTGCATTTTCTCATCACTTTTCTGGACCAAATTGGTCATTATAATTATAAAACGTCCAGGTCCATTTTATGGTTCTTTTCACTTATGGTGTTATAGCCTTCATGTATATGACTTCCTAGTTCTTCTTTCACTTTGTATCAATTCTTATGTCTTCTCATGTTTCGATGAATTCTTCAAATTCCTAATTTCTTACAAAGAAATAATAGTACATTTATCAATTAGTCAATAAGCATTATTATGTGCCATGCAGTGTACTACATGCAAAGGATGCAAAAAAAGGCAAAGGTAGTCCCTGCCCTCAAGGAGTTTATATTCTAATAGGGGGGATAATATGAACATAAATATAGACTATGTGAAAAGTAACTTTAGAAGGAAAGGCAGTAGCACCTGGGGGAGGAGGGAAGAACCAAGGGAGGGGCCAGAAAAGGTATCCTACAGAAGGTGGCATTTGAGCTAAGTCTTTAAGGAAGGTCAGGGATTCTAAGAGGCAGAAGTGGGGAGGGAGAGTTTTCCAGGCATAGGGCATAGTACAAAGGCACAGAAATGGGAAATGGAGAGTTGTGTGTGAAGAACAGCAAGTAAGCCAGGATGACTGAACCATAGAGTGCATGAAAAGGAATAATGTGTCAAATGCCAAATGGAGTTTATACTTGATCCTAGAAGTAGGAAAGCCCCTGGAGTTTAGGAGAATCACTTTGGCAGCTGTATGAAACATGCATGAAGAAAGACCTGGAAGAAGATCAGTGAGGAAACAGTCCATATGCAGAGTGAGTAGGACCTGAACCAGGGTACTTGATATACAGTAGATGAATGGGGAGAAAGGGGATATATCCAAGAGATTGTGGAGGAAAAAAAAACAAGAAGATGTAATAACCAATTGGATATGTGGGATGATTATAATCTTAGTTCTGAATTTTTTTGAGTTGTTTGCAAAAATCAAATCCAACAGCCAAAGCAATACTTAGGGGAAATTTTATATCTCTAAATGTTTATTTCAATAAAAGAGAGAAAAGCAGATTAATGAATTGAGCATACAGCTAAAAAAAACTAGAAAAAAATTTTAAATCCCCAATTAGGTACCAAAATGGAAATCCTGAAAATCAAAGGAGAGATTAATAAAATTGAAAGTAAAAACAACAACAACAAGAAGCCATCAAACTAATAAACAAAACTAGGAGCTGGTTTTAGGGGAAAAAACAAATAATAAAATAAATAAACCATTGGTTAATTTAATTTAAAAAAAAGATGAAAACCAAATTACTAGTATCAAGAATTAAAAAGGTGAATGAATCACCAATGAAGATGAAATTAAAGCAATTATTAGGGATCATTTTGCCCAATTATATGCCAGTAAAACTGACAATCTAAGTGAAATGGATGAATATTTACAAAAATATAAACTTCTCAGATTAACAGAAGAGGAAATGGAATACTTAAATAACACTATCTTAGAAAAAGAAATTGAACAGGAAAATGATAAATGTTGGTGATGTGGGAAAATTGGAACACTAATGTATTACTGGTGGAATTGTGAACTGATCCAACCATTCTGGAGAGCAATTTGAAACTATGCCTATAACTATAAAATTGTGCATGACCTTTGACATAGCAATACCACTTCTAGGTCTGTATCCCAAAGAGATCATAAAAATGGGAAAAGGACCCACGTGGACAAAAATTTTAAGAGCAGCTTTTTTTTTTTTTGTGGTGGCAAAGAATTAGAGATTGAGGGGATGCCCATCAATTGGGGAATGGCTGAACAAATTGTGGTATATCAGTGTAATGGAATACTATTGTCCTATAAGAAATGATGAGCAGGTAGACTTTAGAAAAACCTGGAAAGACTTATATGAACCGATGCTGAGTGAAGTGAGCAGAACCAGAAGAACATTGTACACAGTAACAGCCCCACTGTGCGATGACTGATTTTGTTGTCTTATCTCTTCTCAGGAATACAAAGATCTAAGACAACTCCAAAAGACTCATGATGGAAAAAACTATTCACATTAAGAGAAAGAACTATGGAATCTGAATGCTGATGGAAGCATACTGTTTGATCTCTTTTTCTTTTGTTGTTTTATTTCTTCTTTCTTGTGGTTCTTCCCATTAGTTCTAATTTTTCTTTACATCATGACTAATGTGAAAATATGCTTAATATGAATGTATAAGTAGAGCCTATATCAGATTGCATGCCATCTTGGGGAGGAGGGGAGAGGAAAAGGAGAAAATTTAAAACTCAAAAGCTTATGGAAGTGAATGTTGAAAACTAATAATAAATAAATAAATAAATAAATAGTTAAAAAAAAGAAAAAGTAAAAGAAATTGAAAAAGCCATTAATAAGTTACCTAAGAAAAAAATCCTCAGGGCCAGATGGATTCATACGTGCATTCTACCAAACATTTAAGAAACAGTTAATTCCAATATTATATAAACTATTTGAAAAAATAGGGCAAGATGGTATCTTACCTAATTCCTTTTATGACAAAAATATGGTTTTGATACCTAAACCAAGGGGAGCAAAAACAGAGAAAGAAAACTATGGACCATTTTCCTTAATGAATATCAATGCAAACATTTAAAATTAAACTGAAGCAATGAGATTACAGCAATATATCACAAAGATCATACATTATTACCACGTGGAATTTATAAAAGGAAGGTAGGGTTAGTTCAATATTAGGAAAATTATCAGCATAATTGACCACAAAAAAACAGTAACAAAAATCATATGACTCCATAGAAAAAAGCAGAAAATACAACACCCATTAGTATTAAAAACACCAGAAATCATAGGAATCAATGGAGCCTTTCTTAAAATTCTAAGTGGTATCTATCTGAAATCAAGAGCAAGCATTATCTGTAATGGGGATAAACTTGAAGCATTCTTAATAAGATCAAGAGTGAAGCAAGGATGTCTATTATCACAACTATTATTCAATATTGTACTAGAAATCTATTCCAGCAATAAGACAAGAAAAAGAAATTGAAGGAATTAGAATAGGCAACTTTTTGCAGATGATATGATGGTATCCTTAGAGAATCCGGGAGAATCAACTAAAAAAAACTGGTTGAAACAATTAAGAACTTCAGCAAAGTTGCAGGATATAAGATAAACCCACATCAATAATCAGTATTCTGTATGTTACCAACAAAGTCCAGCAGTCAGAGATACAAAGAGAAATTCCATTTAAAATAACTACAGATAGTATAAAATACTTAGAAGTCTACCCTGCCAAGACAAACCCAGTGATTATATGAACACAATTACAAAATTTATTTTTCACACGAATAAAGACAGATCTAAACAATTGGATAAATATTAATTGCTCATGGGTAGACTGAGCCAATATAATAAAAATGACAATTCTACCTAGGTTAATTTACTTATTCAATGCCATACAAATCAAACTACCAAGGAATTATTTTATAGAACTAGAAAAAATAGTAACACAATTCATCTGGAAGAACAAAAAAGGTCAGGAATATCAAAGGAATCAATAAAAAAAATGTTAAAGAAGGCAGCCTAGCAGTTCAAGATTTCAAACTATATTACAAAGTGGTAATCAAAACAATCTGATACTGGCTAAGAAATAGAGTGGTAGATCAATGAAATAGATTAGGTATATAATACATAGTAGTAAATGACCTTAGTGATCTAAGTGTTTGATAAGCTCAAAGATTCAAGATTTTGGGCTAAGAACTCAACATTTGACAAAAATTGCTGGGCAAACTAGAAAGCAGTTAGGCAGAAAATTTTTGCATAAACAAAACGAATGAAGTTAAAATCAGAAGGAAAACAGGAAACTGGGGGGGGATTTATAGGAAATTTCTTTGATAAAGTTCTTATTTCTCAATTATATGGGGAACTGAGCCAAATTGTTAAAAAAAAATAAGAGCCATTCCCCATTTGACAAATGGTCAGAAGATATGAATGGGCAGTTTTCAGAAGAAGAGATCAAAGTTATCAATAGTCACATGAAAAAATTCTCTAAATCATTACTGATTATACAAATGCAATGAGATGCTATCTCATGCCTATTGGATTGTCTAACATGACAGAATAGGAAAATGACAAATATTGGAGGAGATGTAAAAAAAATGGGACACTGATGCACTGCTGGTGGAATTGTAAACTGGTACAACCATTCTGGAGAACAATTTGGAACTATGCCCATAGGGCTGTAAAACTGTACACATCCCTTGGCTCAGCAATACCATTACTAGGTCTATATCTTGAAGAAAGCAAAGAAAAAAGAAAAGGACCTATACAAATAAAAACATTTATAGCAGCTCTTTTTGTGGTGGCAAAGAATTGGAAGTCAAGAAGAAGTCCACCAATTGGGAAATGGCTGAACAACTTGTGATATATGATTGTGATGGAATACTATTACGCTATAAGAAATGACAAGCAGGATGATTTAAAAAAAAAACATGAAAACTTGTATGAACTCATGTAAAGTGAAGTGAGCAGAACCAGGAGAACATTGTACACTGTAACAGCAATATTGTACAATGATGAAATGTGAAAGATTTGGCTACTCTGATCAAGATAATGATCCAAGACAATTCCAAAAGACCCATGATGAAAAATACTGTGCACGGCCAGAGAGAACTGATGAACTCTGAATGCCCATGAAAGCATCCTTTTTAAAAATTTACTTATATTTATTGCTTTATTATGTATGTATTTTCTTTTGCAACATGGCTAATATGGAAATATGTTTTGCATGACTTCACATATGTAATCAATATCAGCTTACTTGGCTTCTCAAGGATGGGGAAGAGGCAGGAGGGAGGGAGAGAATTTGGAACTTAAAACTTAAAAAAATGATTGCTAACTTTTTACATGTAATTGGAAAATACTTAACAAAAAATAAAAATAATTTAAAAAAATCAAATCCATTTTTCAAGTGCAGACATCTGTTGCTGTCTCAAATATTCAAAAGCAAAGCATTTCCCAAAGAGGAGGTCCTAGAATGTTTTGACATATGCTTTTGTCTCCAAAAGGAGCTCCTCTGAAAGGAAAAAAAAACATAAAAGCACACTAACCTCCCTCCTCTCCCCACAGAAAATCACTATGAACAAAACCAAAAAGCTCCATCTCTTTATAGTCACGTCATAAGGAAATGAAGTTTCTGCTGTTTGTGGAGGGCCAGGCTGTTCTTATTGCCTCCATTGTACAGCAGCCCACAGGGTAATTTGGTGGCTTTGATCTGGAGAATCCTTTTTCAGGTTTTTAGAGTCTCCTCTGTGAATCACCTTTTTAGTTTCTTTATGGCATGTCTAGTTGTTTGCCATTGTAGTAACTCTGGTGCTCCTGTGCCTACTATCCCACCATTTTCTTCCTAATTGCCATTGAATTTCAAAGACTGAGCTGTTGGAACCCAGGTGCAGCATGAAATTTGCCTGGTCTATTGTCCGTAGGACTTTCCTTTTTTTTTTTTTAAATTTGGTCCAGCTCAACTGGACTTTGTTCACACCCAACACTCCATCTCCCCTGTGTTGTGGTCATTGACTTGGCTATCCCCCACACCCAGGATAAGCCAGCTCCTCACCTCTATCTGTTAGAATCTTTATTTCTTTCAAAACTCTACTCAAGCCCCACCTTCTACATCAGAGGTTCTTTGCCTGTGTATGTGTGTGTCACGGATCCCTTTGGAAGTATGGCAAAACCTATGGACCCCTTCTCAGAAGGGCATTTTTTTTTAAGTTGGGCAATGGGGGTTAAGTGACTTGCCCAGGGTCACACAGCTAGTAAGTGTTATGTGTCTGAGGTCGGATTTGAACTCAGATCCTTCTGAATCCAGGGCCGGTGCTCTATCCACTGCGCCACCTACCCAGCTGCCACGAGCAGCATTTTTATACACATAAAAAAAAGTACATATTATTACAAAGGAAGGCAATTATATTAAGATTCAGTTGTCTAAATGTTTTTTAAAAAAAACAAGCTAACAGATCTCCAGGTTAAGAACCACTGGTCTATATCAATCTTTGCTGATTATCAACATCTAAAGTCCTACCCTGTACTCCCTTCCCCTTTGCCCCTCCCCATTCACCTTGTGTTTATTCTATATATACCTATTTAAACACATGTTGTCTCACCCGACAAAATATAAGCTCCTAGAGGGCAAGAACTGTCATTTTTGTCTTTGTAGCCCCCTAGCTCCCAGATAAAGAAGACAGAATAATTCAATAGAATGGAAAGCCAGTAGATTTGGGTTTTAGTCCTAGCTCTGCCTCTCATTTGATGTATGACCCTGGTCACAAAGCTTAACTTCCTTGGCTTTGTTTTCCCTCACCTGTGAAAAGGAGAGGTGGAAGAGATGATCTCTAAAATTCTTTCCAGCTCTCCCTCTAAAAGTTCACGATTCTCTAATTCTCTTTAAGACCATTTACCATTGCCAAATGGATTATGAGATCTTTTTTTTTTAAATCAACTTTAATCCTTTGACTCAAGCTAAAATGAGTTTGTATTCCCTCTACCAATTCATAACCTGGGGAGAAATTGTGTACTACCTGGAGGTATACAGGGTAGCAAGGGAAGCCAGCCAGTACAGTTGAAAATTTGTGGCGGCTAAGCATAGATAATTGACTGTACTTGCTAGGGGAGATCATAGGATGATAGCAATGGAGCTGGAAGGGACCTCAGATGCCACCTTCTTCCACTCCCTCATTTTAAAGTTGAGGAAACTGAGGTCCCTTGAAATTCTGTGACTTGCGCATGGTTACACAGGTACCAAGTGTCAATGGTGGGATTTGAACTTCGGTTCTCTACCTCTAGCAGCATGGGATAGAGTGCTGAGGCTTCGAGACTCATCTTTCTAAATTCAAATCCAGCCTCGATCACTTGATAGCTGTGTGACCCTGGGCAAGTCACTTAAACTTGTTTGCCTCAGTTTCCTCATTTGTAAAAATGAACTAGAGAAGGAAATGGCAAACCATTCCAGTATCTCTGCCAAGGAAAAACTCAAATGGGGTCATGAAGGGT